TCCTAGACTTCCCACTTCTCTCTTTAGATCTTTAACAGTCTTCCACTTAATTCGCGGAGTGATACATTGTTTTCTTTTGAGAAGCACTGGTACGCTTTTCGTAATTTCACTTCTTTAACTGTTGAGAGTGACGATGTCACAGTGATTTGTGAAGAAATCGAGCGGGGATGTAGGTTTATTGGATCACATTCTGGAAATAGTGTTTTAAAAGGTGTTATATTAATTTTTGGTTCTGCACTATTCAAGGAGTACCTCTAGGAAGAGTGAGGAGGAAGAGAGGCTGAAGGTTGACAGCTTCTTCTCCTACGAATGCCCCAGGCATGAAGTAGGAATTTATTCAGTTAGTAGTTATTATCCTTTATCCTTTTGTGATTTATATCACTTGTATAGGACTATCACTTAGGCTATGAATCTTGGCATTAGGGTTTTAAAAGACTTATTTTTACTTAAAACCCACACCTACCTTCTAATAGATAGTTAATTTCAAACGTAGAAAAGTTGCAGGAATTAAAGTATACGAAAAACATACTTGTATACTCTTTATCACATTTGCTTACTATATACATTTATATGTACATATAGACCTACATATACTATTCTGTATATATTCCATAATGTGTATATATACACATATATGTACATAAATACACATGTACTATTCCACATGTGTATGTATATTTAAAATTATGTTTCCTAAATTATTCGAGGGTAGATTATAAACTTTATCCTTAAATACTTCAATGTGTTTCATAAGCACAGGAATATTCTCTTATATAACTACAATGTAGTTATTATTAACTTGGGTGCATTTAGTATTGGAAACATATTTTAATTTTTCATTACATTCCAATTTTGTCGATTGACCTAATAATGTCCTTTGTATCATGCTTTCCTCTCCTGTACAAGATCCAGTCTAATATTATCCTAGGTATTGCATTTAGTTGTCATATCTCTTTAGTTTTCTTCAATCAGAAACATTTCCATACCTCTTTATTTTTATGACTAGAGCGGAGGTTCTAAACAAGGCCAGTTTTGCCCTTCAGGGACTTTTGGCAATATATGGAGATAAGTTTGGTTGCCACAAATGGGAGTACACAGCATTTAGTGAGTAAGGCTAGGAATCTCTACAATGCCCGGAACAGCTTCATAAGGAAGAATTTATTGCCCTCAAATTTCAAAAGTGCCAAGATGGAGAACAAAATCCATAACAAAAATGATCCTTCTTTTAAAAATTATTTATTTTGAAATAAATGTAGATTCACATATGGTTAGAAGAAATAATACATAGATCCAACATACCCTTTACCCAGTTTCTCACGGTGGTAACATCTGTGAAACTATATTTTGCAATATTAGGAGCAAAGTATTGACATTGACACAGTTACTATGTCACTACAAAGATCTCTCATGTTACTCTCCAATAACCACACCCACTTCCCTTGCCTGCCTTCTTGTTTAATGTTTTTTATGAGATACTTGCTATTTTCTTACTACAGAAGTTACTAAATAGCAATAATAACTATTTCTTGGCATTGTTCCCAGTAAACAGGAATATCACCTCATGAATGGACTATATTTGTCCAATAGCTGGAATGTTAGTTCTTCAGAGATTCTAGAAAATAAACACTTAATACATGCATACATGCGTGGATGGATGGATGAGTGGATGAATATGTTTTAAAGCTTAGTTATGAAACAAATGGGTCTACTACCCAGCTGAGGAACTATACACTTACCAATCTTGCGAAGTTACTACATATGTACTCCTCAGTCCATCTCTTTCACCCTCTAAGAAGTAACATGTTAAATTTTTCTTTTTCTTATCTTTTTCATTAAATGTAAAAATGTGATAGCTTATTGCACATGGTTTTCTGTGACTTACTTTTTTTTAGTTCATTGTTTCTGAAGTTCATCTGTGCTGTGTGTTTAATTGTATTTCATTGAATTTTCACTGGGGTGTAAAATTCTATTGTGTGATTATCCCCATCTTTTTTTTTTTTTTAAAGATTTATTTTATTTCATTTATTATTATTTGTTTAATTTGACTAGAGAGAGAGAAAGGGAAAGTGGAAAGCAAACTTCCAGGTCCGGGACTTGAACCTTGGTCAGCCATGTGGCAGTCCAGTGCCTTAACCACCATACCACTTGCTGCCACCCCATCATTTTTAAATCACTATTTGAGTTGTTCATATTTTCTGGTGGTGTGAGAAATGCTGCCATCAGTATGTTACCATGTCTCTTGGTGTACAAGTCTTGAGGGTATGGATACAGGAGGATAATTTTTGTGTTTGCACATGTTCATCTTTAGAAGATAATGCCAAATCATTTCCCAAAGTGTTTCTAGCAATTTACACTCTCACAAGCAATGTTTGAGTTTAGGTTACTTCATGTTCTTACAATGCTAGAACCATGAGGTTTCCCGATTTTTGCTAATGAAGTAGTGTCTGTTCGGTGAGAATGATAGTGTCAGTGTTGGTGGTTGTAGTAGTATATTGCATTATGAGTATGGCAGGGCCTATAATAAACCACTGAAGTAGAAAGAGCTTTATTAATGTGTACATGGGGACTTTAAAAAGTTTGTGGAAAAATCAAATTCAAATATGAGTTTATTTTGATGCAAAATAATTTTAAAATCCATGTATAGTTTTTCCAGAAACATTTTGAAGAGCCCCTCTGATATTCTGAGAATTACAGTTCATCTGCTTAGTTGTCAAAATATCAAATGAGAGTTTGGAGATCTCTTCTGAGGCAATCAGAGACACACTAGTAGAAAGCTTGTGCAGCTGATGGTTTTAAAACTTTTGGGTTTGTAACCTCTCTGCTCAGTAATCCCATGGTACAGTGGAAGATTTGGGAAGGAGCAAAATAAATAAGTTTTAGCCAAATTGTGATCGTATACATGAGTTGCTCAGTTCTGTAAGAGAAGAAAGCTCATCTTCATGCAGTTTTAATACATTTACTGTGACGGTGTGTTGCAAATTATTTAAGCAGTTCAAATGTATAGACAACCAGTGGACAGAGGAGAAAAAAAATTTTTTTTTGTGGGGATGATCTATATCTATCTAAATATGAGGGGACTTCAGAAATTTCATGAAAAATGGAATTAAAGTACAAGTTTATTTTGGTGCAAAGTAATTTGTAATCTAGCCATAGTTTTCCCATAATTTACATTTTCCATAACATTTTTGAAGACTGCCTAGATACTGTATAGGTCTGTTTTGTTTTTTAAAGTTTGTGATAGGGCACGTGTACTCGCTGGAGAGGGACAGAGAGAGAGAGAGATTGAGAGAGAGAGAGCAGCCCCCATGGGGAATGGCCATGGCACAATTCCCTCTCCTCCATTCCCTGTCAGAATTTTGAGCATCCATGCATATGCGCTCAGCATGCTTCTCAAGCCAGGACTCAAACCACCATGCAGTCAGCCATGTAAGATCTAGTCACCTCAACCATCATGTCACCTGGCTGGTCCAACTGTATAGATCTGTTTTAATAGAGGAACAGGTGGTGATCTGTAGGTAAGGCAGCTTATGGCTTTTATAGCTGAAACCATAGATGAGGCAGCTATGTTATTTCACATGCTGGACACCATAATTTGTGGGCATCCTGTCAGCAAAACATTGATAATTAGGAAGATCTTCTCAGATCTGCAGCTTAAGGGCACAAAGACCTCTTGCAGTTGATATAGTTAGGACCATAGGAAATTGGACTTGGTAAATTCTCTTATAATTCTAAAATGACCCCTTTTACATTTTAGGTTTCTGTTATTTGTGTAAATCAATACTCTAATCCCTTGGGCCATTTTTTTTTTGGTATGTCAGGGATGAATCAGGTATAATAGCCTTAAAATTTAAATGAATAGTGATTTTTTTGGCCAATAGCTGGGCAGGGGGAGAAGTTACCATAATTCATTATTTACTACTTTTTTTTCTTAAACCATTTCATCAAGAAAAGGCAAAAAGAATTTTGAAGTATTCTCTGTAACAATGTAATTCAGAAGTGAGATTAAATAAAAAATTTGAGATTTGGTAAGATAATGATCCTATTACTAGGAACAGTAGAACACCTAGCTCATTTTTATACTTTTTTTTTTTAGATTTTCTAGGATTTCTCTGTTTTGAATTCCCATCAGCTAAATAACTCTCAATTAATTTATTAAATATATATTGAAGCTTATGGAGGAATATGAAGAAGTCTAAACTGTGGACCCTTTCCCTTGCTAAATTAACATCCTGTTGGACACAAAATTTATTTGCCAATACCTAACAGAAGGAAGCAAATGACTTGTGGCTAATGAGCTATTATTACATTTAGAGATGTTCTGGAATAGCAGAGAACTTTCAGGGAGAAACTGGGATTTCACTCAAGGATGGGTGAATAAAAATTACATGAGCAATATTTTTGCATGGTAGTAGTTAGTGTATTATTTAGTTTTTCCTTCATGATTGTTTCTTTTTTTTTGTCCTTTTTTTCCCCAAGACTGTCATACCTCTACTAGGTATAAGGAGGACCTTAAAAACAAGGATAAGTAGTGCAATAAAATAAAATGAGCAGCATAAATAGAGGTAGAACAGCTAAAACAATGTTGGGGAAAAAATGAAGTAGAAAAAGGGAGGAATGATTTTTATGTACTGTTAAGCCTGTCTAGCTACATTAATCAAAGCAGGACAGTATTGGCATAAGATTAGACAGATTGACAGAACAGAATAGAGAACCCAGAAATAGATCAACACAGTGATACTTGATGGATTTTTTTTTTTTTTTTTTTTGTGGAGAGGTTTTTGCTATAGGGCACGTGAGCTCACCAGACAGACAGAGAGAGACAGGGAGACAGAAAGCGAGAAATCACCA